ACATAATATCATGTAAGAATTAAGTTTTTTGTTAAAAAAGAAAAAAATACGCTTGTAAGCGCATGTAAGTCAATGTGGACCTTAGAACTACTGAAAAATAATTCTAAATATTCTTCCTGTTTTTGTTTTTGGCCAAAAAGTTTGCCTAAAATGTCAAATTTGCCCTTCCGAGTTTGACAAGTTATGTTATCGATCAGATCAGATCATTTTACATGTACTTATCACTTCATTTAACAATATTCATCTAATATAAGTGTGAAAATTCAATGATTTTTTAATCTTTCATTAATATGCATATTGAGTCAAACTAGAAAGAAAAATCATTTGCGAGTAGTAATAGACAACACAATATTTTCATTGTAAAGAAAGTGAAAGAAAATTTTGGAACAATCCAAATAAAAATGGTAAATACTATGGTGGACCTAAGGTCGATACATTTTTTCTGTACCTAAGATGATGATGATAAACAAATGCTTACCATCCCGATGAGCTTAAATTTTTTTCAAAAAAACAAATAAAAAATATTGTTTTGATGTGATAAGGTCACCAAAAGTACATGATTCGGACCTTAGTCTACCAAAGAAGCATTCAAAAAATATAGGAAAAGGTAATTATGAAACTGAGAGAATATATTTATTTGGCGCTTGCTATAATACCTATTCACATACCGCTTATCATGTATCAATGAGTAACATGAAGGTTTCCTATTCATTATCATAATATCATATTATGCTTCAATGCCTTCCACGAAATCTTGATCAACCCGGCCAAGGAAAGACTTCCATAATGTTGCGCTGTATTTGAATTGTTTAGAACAATACTGATTTTGTGCAGTTTGAGGTCCACAGTCGATGAACTTTTTGTGACCATTAATACAAAACCTTAGTTCTTCCAAATAGTTTATCCTTTGTGTGCCCATACTCACTTCCTTGCACATCACAAAAGGTTTCTTGCCTTCAAATTCCGAATGGAATCAGCCGTAGTTTTCAACGGTTCTGATGCAAAGATGAAAAGAGTTAATAAGGTAATTTACACAAATAAGACTTAAACATATCACTTTTTTCCTAAATAAGACTAGTCGTATCTGCTTTAACGTTTAAAAATGAAAAGTTCTAAAATACTTTGCCTTTGTGAAAAATGATCTAATACACAATTCAAGTAGAATAAGACAATAGAAGCAACTTGAATGGTCATTGAAATAATAAGTCATTATCAAATACTTATTGTTAATGACCATATTCATAGAGTCATTCGTATAATCAGTCATTATCCAACACTTGTTGCTAATGAGGGCATATATGTCAATCATATGGAATTATCTATCATAAATAAAACATATTTGGTTCTATTCATGGGATTGTATTACCTTTTAGTCCTATATATAGCTATTTTTTTGAATTAATAACCATCAATATGGAAGATCATCCAATTCAAATTAAATGTAACAAGATAGACGAAAAACTCTATTATGATACCATGCCAAGTAAAGAGCATTACAATTTGTTTTTAAAAAAAGTACACAATTTTTTTTTCTTTAAAAGAAAAATACAAAAAGTGTGATTTTAATTAAATTCGAAACGCCGAAAGTAGAAAACAAGTATGACTTAAAATGCCAAAAACAGTCTAAAATGTCAACACATAATATCAAATTATTGTTAACACTCCTACCTACCTTGATGCAAAATGTTTAGACCGGTCTTGACTTGTTTATACAAGCGGAGAGCAACAGAGAAATACGTGGACACGGAAAATAGGTCACACTCTACGCCATGTTTTTCCCATTCCTCCCCCCAAAATTTTTCTGGCCCGACATCTTTCAAAATGTTAGGCCAATACTTCTTAAGATCTCCATAGATTGATGCGAGTTTCTTGAAATCGTATTTCTCCGTTGAATTGGTGCATCGACCATTGTAGTGGGGCCAAAGACCGTGAATGGTGAACGTTTTAGGCAAGTCCGCGGGCTTCCGTTGGCATTCATCATGGGTTAGACAAAAGCCTAAAGGCCAAGTCACTGCAAACTTAAAACTCAATTTTGTAGGATCAATGTTGTTGAGTGAACCATTGATATTAACTTCAATGGTTGTGGCTTCACTAATTGTGAATATGAAAGCAATAAGAAGAAGAATAAGAGTGACCTTCATAGTGTTTTAATTTTAACTGTATGGGATTTTACAACACTCCTTTTGGGTTGCATGCATATACATATACACATAATGAAGTCTCCAAGAGATATTTAAGGAGAGCCAAGCAATGTTCAATGAAGTGCTGATCTTGTGGAGAAATAATAGAATTTATAGCTAACAAGGCGTTTCTGGCCCAAGACTTGGACTTCATTCAAGAAGATATTAAGCCCAAAAACTATTTTAAAATCAACCCAGTACAGTCAGGTGGATCCTTGATTTAAAAAAAAAAATACTTGGGGCACCTTAAGATGGTTGGGATCCGATGGCTGCACCTTCAAAAAAAATAAAGACAAATGTAAAATAAAAAAATATAACATATTTGACGTGGAATAATTATTCAAGTAATTAAAATGAAAAATTTAAAATGGGGAAAAAATTATAGAGCATATATAACTGCAATATATACCGTACAATCGGTTGTACAGTGTTTTTCATATATGCACAACGAGTTTCATTAATTACGAGCAACTGAATACTCATTTTCGAACAACCAAATACTCTTTATCGAGGAAATTAATATTCATGTTTTAGTAACTGAATACTCATTTTTTAAAAATTAAGTTATGCTCGAAAATGAGTATTGTGTTACACGAAAATGAGTATTCAATTACTCGAAAATGAGTATTCAAGTGGATGTATGAGAAACATTTTTTTTCAAACAATTACTAATGATTGATGAGTTAAACTAACACTTTTTTGGTGCATTGAGCTAAACATTTTGAAATACTTCGTATAGTCCCCCCGTTTTTCAAAACACATGTCATCTCTCATTTTTCTCTTTCACCAAAGCACTTCTATTTTCTATTAAAAACTCATTTTTACTCCTACGGATATACGATATGAATGAAGTAAAACACTTTTGGTACCAGAATTTTTTATGTGGCAATTTGGTATATAGAGTAACACTACCCTCTCTCTTTTGGTACCAAACAAAATCAGTAAGCGAGTCTATGTACTTGCCAAGTATAATGCTTCTTTCTCTCCTCTTTTTAACTGTTAATATTTAAAAAAAAATGTTTAAACTAATAACTACAACCTATATATACAAATACAACACATATTTCTCATTTTAAGTCTAACTCACTTTATCAAAATTATTTTTAATCTATAGAAAAGTAAATGGATACGTTTTAATTTTATATATGCTATTTCCTATTTACTATTCGTATTATAATTTCTTATTTAATGTCCTATTTGTGTTGTAATACAAATTTTATTGTATGAGTGTGGACTTGTTTTTAATCTTTTATTTTGGTTTCTATTTTAATAACTTTTTACATTAGTTTGTAGATTTTAAAATTAACTTACATTGGAATATTATCGCATTGTTATCGTAATAATTAAACATTTATGCTTTATATTACTTTAAAATTTATTACTGGGAATTAAAAACTTTAATTATTTAAAAGTAATTTTAAAAGCAATTTATAATACGAGTAATGTTTACGCTAGTTATTTAAAAAAATGATTGTTATAAGTTGGCAAATCGGTGTATGTATGCCGTCACTTGCAGTATGAAAATATGAAATTAGTGGAATCTAATGCGGTGTTGATGTGGATGTAGATGAAAGAGATGATAAACTGAGAAAAGTAGGTTATGCATACCCTCCACCCTAACTCTTAGAGCATGAGCAACGACGATACAAACTCTTCAACCAGTACGCCCCTTCCACGTCAGACAAAACTCCCTCCTTTTTTGCGTGGGGCTGTCGTTCCAGTTCCAGTGTTCCACCATGCGAATCATGGGAGGTGCGACCGCGCGAGGCACTTTCCTTTTTTTAATTTTTTTTCATCAGAAACATTTTTTTTGAAATAGGAGCACATTTATTTTTATTAAAATAATAAATAAAATAATTTTAAAATTAAAATAAATTAGAAAAGTGTAAAAGGTGACAAAAATAATGACTTTCTACTCACTTGCCACACTCCGACGGGATCTTTTTTTATTGGGTAATTTGTACTACGTCAACGTTTGACATTCAATTTTTTTATTTGCTATTGCCAATGCCCTTACTCTATCTATTCTATGCTTTTTCACTAATAATCTACTCATTACATCTTATATTTACCCATCACATCAAGAGTAATTCATTGAAAAGTTAATTTCGAATAGCCCTTTCTTATTTTTTTCCCAAGGTCTATATGGGAATTGTTTTAAAAAACAGAGAGAGTAATATTAAATAATTTAAATGTTTACATTTTCTCAAATTTTTCCACATTTTACAATCAATTAAATAGAAAATGCCATTTCATACAAAATAAGAACAACATAGTGCAAATATACTTAAAACTAACAAAATAAATAACACACAAACATAGTTTTTAGATCTAAAAGGCAGAAAAATCAATTTATTACAAAAAAAGAGAAATATTTAAAGCTGTCCGGCGGCGTCACTAAATTCTTTATTATTTTGACTTATGTGAGATTTAAGAAATGATATTTGTATGATGACTTTCCCATATTATTCTTTGATTTCATATGTAAAAATAGTACTTCCTCCGTCCCTGAAAACATTTCTCCTTTCTTTTTTCATCCGTTCCAAAAAACACTTCTCATTTCTATTAAAAAGTCACTTTTACCCCTTACTTTTTTATACCCTACCTATCACATCATACCTTTTTACTAATAATCTATCCATCAAATCATACTTTTACCCATCACATCAAAAGACATTTTTGGAAATTCAATACCGAAATACACTCCCCTTAAATCACTCTTCAAAATCAAAACTGCCATGTTTTCCGGAACGGAGGGAGTATGTAATAGGCAAATTATTAGAAGATATGCATGATATGATAGATAAAGTAAAAATAAGTAGAAATAAAAATAGTTTTTTCATAGATGTGAGAAAGACATTTTGAGACAAAAAAAAAAAGATAAAAACATCTTGTACAAGATCAAATCAATGGTACAATAATAAGGATACAACCTTTTATTTCATAATTTTACTGAAAGTACAAAGGGTACGCATATATGGTACCTAGTACGTACGTACCCAATAGTGACATTTTACCATTTATTTATTTTCATGATACCATTTATTTTAATAATGATAGCAATAATAGGGAGTATCATATCATATTATTATTATCATCATCATTATAATAATAATAATAATTATTATTATTATTATTATGTTGCTGCTGCCATAACACCTTCTTCCTTGGAGTACTGTTCACCATCATTTTCATTATCATCATGATCATCAAGGTGGTGGTTCAGACGGGCGAGGAGTGACTTCCCCAATGTAACACTGTATTTGAAATCCTGGGAACAAAATCGATCCTGTGCACTTTGAGGTCCGCAATCGGTGAACTTTTTGTTACCTTTGATGCAAAACCTTAACTCGTACAAATAGTTTATCCCCGTCGCCGCCGTCTGGCACATCACGAACGGTTTCTTCCCTGCAAACTCGGCCACACTTTGAATGGATTCCACCGTACTTTTCCGCGGATCTAATTCATGCAATGGGGAAGTAAAACCAAACAAAATTAAATAAATCGTCAAATAAATTAATTACATGAAATAAGTTAGATCTAATCTAATCTGATTATGTTTGTGCTTATAAGCTGGTCAAAACTTCGTATAAGGAGTTTTTAACTTATAAGTCAGCTGGTGACATGTTTTCTGTGTGCTTGCTGACTTATAAGTTAGGAAAAAATAAGTAGATCTTAATTACTTATTTTTAAATCATTTTCTTTTACTTGTTTTGACTAAATTATTTCTCACTATTTATGAATATTTCCAAATGACTTATTTATTATTTAAGTCATTTTACTTCAATGACAAAATAAATCTGACTTATAAACAAGTTATAAGGAAAAAACTACTTATAATCAATAAGTCAATAAGCACCCGCACAGAAAAACACACCCCATATACTTGATTTAATAATTTGAATGAATCTGATCTAATCTGACTCCAATAAATTTATTATTATTATTAGGGCAATGCTAGGGGTACACCAACATGGGGTACCCCAAGTATACACCAAGCCAACACAGACACACATAGACACAAAATGTCTGTGCAACACAGACACTTTGTGCCTGTGTATGTCTGTGTTGGCTTTGGTGTACACTTGGGGTACCCCATGTTGGTGTACCCCTAGCTTAATTCTTATTATTACTATAGACCGTACTATGTATACGTACGTACCAGCATCCCTTAGAACAGTTAGGCCTTTCAGGAGAAGCTTGTACAAGTAGAGGGCCGATTCAAAATACGATTGCACGGTAAACAAGCCGCACTTTTTCCCATGTTTATTCCACTCGTCTTTCCAGAACAAATCTGGCTGGAGATTGCTTTTAAGGTTAGGCCAACGGGCATTAAGGTCTGTAAAGATGGGTGCGAGCGCGTTGAAATCGAACGGGTCGGTGGAGTCGGTGCACTCGCCATCGTAGTTGGGCCACAGGCCGTGGATCGTGAAGTTCTTGGGCAAGTCTGCGGGCCTCTGCGCGCACTTGTTGATCTTGCAGAAGCCCGCGGGCCATGTCACTGCAAACTTGTAGCTCAGTTTAGAAGGATCAAGGTCATTGGCATTCGAAGAAGAAGAAAGGGAAGAGTTGTTAAGTGGTGTGATAATGGTGGCAGTGGCTATGGTAGTGGTGGTGGTGATTGTGAAGAAGAATATGAAAGCTGCTGCAGCAATAGCAAGAGGGAGAGTGATGAGCTTCATATTTTTTTATTATCCTTATTTTACAACACTTTAATTTTGCCTTTTGGGCTTGTATCTATCTATCTATGTGTCTATCTATATATATATATATAGCCAAAGGAAATAATTCTTCTCAATTCTCATCATCATGGAGGCCAGTTTTTGCCTTCCTCAGTTCCAACCTATACCTAGCTAGATTGATTGTGATGCGATTTATTACTTATCTCTCTTCCAAATATATGGAGTAATTATTCCAAATATATGGAGTAATTATCTGGCGCGAAGTCATAATAGACGTTGTGCTAGAAAATAACAATTCATCTCAAATAAGAGTAGACCTGGCAAAATGATCGGTCAGGTCAGGTTCGGATTAGGTATTATCAAGTTCAGGTTATTTTGGATTTGGATCATTTCGGATTCGGGTCTAAAAATGCTTGTTCATGACCCAGAGCAATGTTATTAAAATCGGACCGGACCGGCCGGTCCAACTGGTTGGACCGTGAACCGGACATCAATCCGGTCCGGTTCAACATCAAAACCCGCCCTTACATTGACTCGTTGAAAACCGGAAAAACCGGCGAACCGGCTGACCCGGGTCAGCCCATCCGGTTCCCGGTTTCCAATCAAAATGTTTTAAATTTGATTAAAAATTTTGAAGGCAGGGTTCGAACCAAGGCTAGGGAATTGAGCTTCTAAGCAAATGAGCTGCTACAGCTTTTGTTTACTATGCGATGCATTGTGGTATATATTACCTTCCTAAACTATTTAGAGAGTATTTTTAAAAAAACTTCAAATTACTTAAAAAAGAACTATGTTTATATAATATAGTTATATTGTTGATTTTTAAAGTAGTTCAAACTTAAATATAATTAGTATAATTTATTTTTTATCTTAAGAAAACTATAAATAATCTATACTTAATGTATTATCTTTTATCTTTAAATTATTAATTATAATTTAATATATTGCTTTTTTATATTTTCAATCATTTTAATCAACTAAGATATAAATTTTTCAATCTTTAAATTATTAATTAAAATCATTTTAATCAACTAAAATAAGAATTTATTATCTTTTTTTATTTTTAAAAAATATGAGTATTACCTTATAATTTAAGTGTGTGTTAGACATTCAATATTAATTTTTAATAATAATAAAAGTAATAGAAAAAAATAGAAATTGTAAATTAAAATATATACAATGATATTAAAACTAGACGGAGAAGTAAAAACACAAGCTAAATACTTTTTTAACTAAAAATATCTAATGGTATAATATAAAATATTAATATTTTAATTATAGTTTGACCGAGTCGTTGACCCGAGTTGACCCCGGTTCAACCGGTTAACCCTTGACCCAGTGCTTTGTCCGAGTCGACGTCCGGTCCGGTTTTCAGAACATTGACCCAGAGTTATCGGGCTCGGATTGACCCAACGGGTTAAGAGGCGTTTCCAAAAAATTAAATTGCTATTTAGAGATCAAGTGATCCACGCATTATTCAAAACAAAGAATGAAATCATAAAAGTTTGTAGTTTTATTTGCAACATACCAAAAGAAAATTACAACGTACCCAAAACATCAGCTTTTTGCAGCATACCAAAAAAATTGTATTAGATGGAAAAAAATTGAAGATTCTTTCAACATATCCAAAAATATATATACTCTCTCCGTCCCTGAAAACTTTTCTCCTTTCTTTTTTCATCCGTCCCAAACAACACTTCTTATTTCTAATAAAAATTCACTTTTACCCATTACTTTTTCATACCCTACCTATCACATCATACCTTTTTACTAATAATCTACCCATCAAATTCTACTTTTACCCATCACATCAAAGGACTTTTTTTTTGGAAATTCAATACCAAAATACACTTCCCTTAAATCTCTTAAAAATTAATAACTCCCATGTTTTTAGGATCGGAGGGAGTACATTATATAAAAAAATTGAGTTGTTTGCAACATAACAAAATAAAAACTTGCAATAAATGAAAAGTCAGATACATGTTTATATTATTCACATGGTACCGTCATTACATTTTTGTAGAATGTACCACAACATGTATTGTCATTACATAATTGCAGCATACAAAAAATGCGATACACTAAAAAAATTAAACAATACCAAAAAAAATTATAATATACCAAAAAATTTAGAAGAAAAGAATTAAAACTTGAGTTACTCGTATGAGCAACTGAAGAAGATGAAATAGGATTAAATTCTACTATTATTCTTGTGTTTTCTCATGATTTTGATTGAGTGGACACCTAATATCGAAGGACGATGGAAGAGTGGAAGGACGAGAGAGAGAGAGAGATGAGAGAGACTGGAATGTTACTGGATAGATGAGTACGTTTTGTTCCTTTTGAGTTTTAAGTAGCCTAATGGTATATCATATTTTAAATAAATATATAAAACTAAATAACTAATAAAAGCAAATAATTAAGTGCATAACTCGTAGGCTCAAACCCGACTTGAACCTGTTCTGACCCGAAAATTTAACGGGTCTTCAGGTTCGGGTCGCAAAATCGATGTTCAAAATTCACTAAATTTCAGGTCAGATTTCGGGTTAATAACGGGTCGGGTCAAATTTTGTCGGGTCTAAATAGGAGTAAGACATAGAGAAAATACTAAAATAGGAATTCCATATTTTTATCTCTAAAATATGAGTTTAAACTGTGGTAATGAGACAATGTATATTGACATTTTACGATACCTTTTGGAAATGTATATGGTCATGATTGACAGACACTGTACATGTATTTTAACTCCTATCTCGAGGATAAAAATAATGTTTTATTTCTAATTTTCTACTTTAGTCTTTTCTCTTAAAACATTTATACAAAATGATAAGTGAAAAGATGTAAATAAGGAGGCGGGATATAGACTCCTTAAAGTTGCCAAAACTAAAAGAAGGAATTCCCTTGCGAGACGAAAGGAGTATGTTACTAACTTACTCCGTACTACATTCTAAAAGTGAATAAGAAATGTAAAAATATAATTTAAATAAATTACTCTAACACTAATTAAGCTGAAAATGACTATAAGTTGATACTGATATCGTATCGAATAAAAGGAAGAACTTTGAGGGTTTTTCAGACTCCAAAAAAAGAGAGAAAAGAAAGATATACACGGTGACGATAGCATGGTCGTTGTAGTGTGACAATGTGGTAAGTGTGGCAGTGTAACAATGTCAGTATGGACTCCTATTTTTGTCTTAAAATACCAAGGACTTCTAATATGCATGCATCTTCCTTTAAAAGCGATCCTATTTGCTTAAAACTTGTTTAGGAACTAAATATAGAGCAATAACATGATTTATAGGTTTGATTTTTGAGAGAGATGCTACATTTGTGGAAAAAATCTAATCTATGCATTGCCAATCTGGAAAAAACATATGGAAGAATAACATGAACTCTAAGAGGGAAAACTCAAAACTGAAAGGCAAGAGGAAGAAATAGCACATCTTCGAACGTACTATCTTAAAAGGTGTCCTTCAACGCCTTGCCGTTGCGAAGGGATGTGTTCCTCCATCAATCTTCGACCCCGACTACTCATCCACATGCACTACAAGTCTACAACGATGAGCAAGTTTCTCGTCGGCGGTGCCCATGAGCTATGATAGCATGCATGGTATATTTTGTCATTCTCATCCGTACTTGTTGTTTGTGATGTTTAATTTTTTTAGACTTGCATGGTACTTCATTTTATATATATATATATATATATATATATATATATATATATATATATATATATATATATATATATATATATATATATATATTGGAACTTATTGTTTGATGTTGTTTATGTAATTATGATGACTTCTTGAGATTATGGATTGTGTAATGGTTGAATGTTATGTTTGGTTCCCCTTATGTTGTATGTTTGTATATAGTATTTAGAATATACTTGTAATTAAAATTTACTGTATTTATTTTTTTAAAATAAATTAAAATAAAATTTATTGTATTTATTTTTCTGTAATTTATGGTCAAATTTTTAAAAGTTCCATGTAGGGTGGGTAAGTCAAAGTTAGAAGAACCAAGTGAGAGGGAAGAAGTATGTTTTTTGGACCAAGCCGTTAAAAATATTTTTTGTACATTAATATTCTCTCTTTTTTATTTTTAATTTCTTTGGTTTTTTGGTGTATACATATGAGCTTCATATTCCATCCAAGAAAACCACACAACTTTTATTTATTCTACGTAGTACTACTTCATCTAGAACTGTCTTGACTTTTTTTGTTCTACCAAATGGTGCAAAAAGGATCAAATTGATTCAAGCCTCCAAGATAATGCATGCTCCTTCCTTTCCAAATTAAAATTTTCTATTTAGATTGTCTCAAAATCAACTTTTCATTTATTTTTAAGGGGTGAATTAAGTGATCTTTGTTGATTCCCTCTCTTCTCCATAAATTGCCATCAAATAATTCTATTATTTCGAGAACTCAGAAACTTCTTGTGAGTTTTCATTAAATACAACCTTAGACTGTAGTACGCAGTAACAGAGACTCGTTCTAAAATTTAAAAACCATTCATGTACGGGTTTGTGAGTTAACACTATGAAGGAAAGGAAGAATATATTGAATTCTAATGGCTAATTTGAAAGAAACCAAATTAACTTGAAACAAATGGCTAATCTCTTTCAAAAAAACAATTGAAAAAAAGTGATAAAAGTATTTAGGGAGATGAAAACAAAATAAAGAGTTTTAGGATACGGATATTTTTTATAAAAAATTAATTAATTAATTAAAAAAATAAAGTCATACTCCATATAATTTTTCTAACTATGAAGAATAAAATATTATGCACAAGGGCATTTTAGAGAGAACAATAAAAGAAAAAATAAGTGGAGTGCATCTAGTAATTATTGGAGTGCCAATATCAATTGCAATTTTATATATATATATATATATATATATATATATATATTGGTTCTGGTGAGAATGCAATCTTAGGAGAGAAATGAGAATGAATCTAGTGCTTTAAATTGTGAGATCTAAGGGTCAAGATTTCATCAAAATTAGATGCACCAAAATGGTGCGAAAATGCATCACGTCGAAATG